GGTGAAGCGCACACTGGAAGGCTTGACATCAAACACAGTCGGTAATTTTAAATAAACAATCTTTACAGTAACTAAGCACAGGGCTAATATTGGGCATCCTGGCAGTGGTACAGCCGAGGGGAGGCCAGGTTCATAAAATAGGCGGCCCAAATTGCTTGTTTTCTTTTTTACATTATTTTTTCTTTGCTTAATATTTCCTTCCCTTCCCCTCATATTCATACCAGTTCATTACGACTTCCGACAGTTTCGAAACGTATAATTTATTGTCTGTCATGACAAAAGCAAGCCCGTTTCAGGCTCCAAAATTCAGAACGATACCAGTGTCGACATGGCCCCACGGGGAGACCCCCTCGCGATCTGGATAAGGGCATCCTCTCTGACATGACAGCAGCCTACTCAACACTCATAGCGATGGACGCGAATTCTCCGTAGTCCGACTATCGCTCCCTGATTTACCATGGCATGACCATATATGTCACGACGAGGGCCTTATGGGATTTCACGAGTTGGGAGAGCCGATGGGTACTTACATGGAATGGATAACAGCAGGGTTGGGCACAATTTGGGCGCATTGCGGATATGGATATTGGTATGGGTAAGACGTTTACGAAGTGACAAGTAGATAATTTACGAAATACGACATAAATGTGAAATGTGATTGCTTTCGCTCCTTTTAAGAGTAGCAAAACTTCATTCATACCACGTTTACAATTATCAACGCAAAGCTGTCTTGGGCGTAAACTCTCAGAAACTTTTCCATACTTCCTGATTAAAGTGCTAACAAATTACAAACGGGTGGATAACGAGCGACTGCACGCGATTAGGAATGGGCAGAGGATGGTTATGGGCACAGCCCCTGGGTAGCCCGCGGATTAGGCACCGGAAATTTTGCCTTTGAACGGCAATAGAGAGTTTCCTGTGGTACTACGGACTTCAGCCAAACAATATTTCTACGGCCTCCTCTCGGTAATGACAGCGCCTCTATTTACATCATTCGAATCTCGTTTTGGTCCGAACATGGATTAACTGTTGCAATGTTTGAAACCATCCGACACACCTATATGACTGAGCCGTCTACATTGGTTGGAAGGGACCTTATCTCGGCCATGAAATGGGCCCCTAACTGTATCGTGGCTCTCGAACCTTCCGATCATTATATTACCGAGACCTCCCAGCCTTTAATTGATCATTGTCCGCCTCTTGGAGCCAAATTACTCCCGGACACACCCGCCCCACGCACGTGTGGGCCTTCCCTCGATCGTCGCAGTATTACGTTGTTGGCCAAGGCCCCACTTGGTCCTGACTGCATCATCACCTTTCGCCGTGGATATTACACCTATAATGGATTTCGAGGGCCTCTTTCAATTCGGGATAGGCAGAAGTACGCGCTGACCCCTACCCAGCCTCGCGTCCTGCGGGTGGTTCCCAGAGCCCTGTCCACCCCATGGCTCCGCACAACGGGCACTTGTCCACCCGGTGGCGCCGCACAGGGGGGTACACGATTGAGCAGAAGCCAAGCCGCATAAGGCAACGGAGCATAAATCAGTCACCAAAGACCACGGCTAGGTAGCAGTCGGGCTTGGTACTGGCATCTAAGACAAATGTATGCGACCCGCACGAGGAACATGATGCCAACCAAACAAAGTCTAAGGCCGGATCGTTTTCCGCGGACGTATCCTGCCGTAGTTTCTGGACTGAATGCTAAGGAACGTAGCTCAAAGATCTGGAGGCCTGTTCCCCGGACCCTGCCTGGACCAAGCAAACTGCCGTCAGGCTTCTGGGTTATGCTAAATGGTTTAGATTCCTAAAGTTATAAGGGCCACCCACACTTCATACAGCTGTGTTTGCAGTTTTAATCCGGTAGTTTAAACTGCGTTTGCAGCTTTCAGCTGGGAGAGGCAGGAGCAGTGGGGACAGGGGCACACCACAGGATCAAGAGGGGCAGGGGGGGGGGCAGTGAGGCAGGATGGCGGGTTTTGATTTACGTATATTTCTTTAACAATGCCACCCCGGGCCAATGTCGGGACACTCCACTAAATCACAGTCTTAGGATAAGCTTACAAATGTGTGTCTTTGGTTGACCCTGTGTCATTCCCAGAGCAATGACAACAATGCAAATAACTGGTGCAATTACAGCTTATTTTAAGGCTGACCTATGCACAGCTGTTGAGGTGACCCGATTGATCTTTATCAAGCTATTTGCAACATAGCACCCGAGGGTCAACAGCTTCATGTTCGTAGAGGTCAGAAACTGGAAGCCGGGAATATCTGAAGAGTCAGTTACGGTGCTGACTTCCGACCTCAAGCGCCAGGTGTGCGACAGCACAGCATCAACTCATGGCAGCTGAGCGATCAGAGCTCGCTCCCAAAGGCATCAGGTGTGCGACACCACAGCATCAACTCATGGCAGCTGAGCCATCAGAGCTCGCTCACACAGGCGCCAGGTGTGCGACAGCACAGCATTAACTCATGGCAGCTGAGCCATCAGAGCTCGCTCCCACAGGCGCCAGGAGTGCGACAGCATCAACTCATGGCAGCTGAGCCATCAGAGCCCGGCTCCCACAGGCGCCAGGTGTGCGACAGCACAGCATCAACTCATGGCAGCTGAGCCATCAGAGCTCGCTCCCACAGGCGCCAGGTGTGCGACAGCACGGCATCAACTCATGGCAGCTAAGCCATCAGAGCTCTCTACCACAGGCGCCAGGTGTGCGACAGCACGGCATCAACTCATGGCAGCTAAGCCATCAGAGCTCTCTACCACAGGCGCCAGGTGTGCGACAGCACAGCATCAACTCATGGCAGCTGAGCCATGAGAGCTCGCTCCCACAGGCCAGCAGAGTTAACAAGCGACGTTCGTTCACCTCCCAGCCTCAACGAAGTAACATTCACAGCTAGTCACATTCCGTTGTTCGTGAAACGAGTTGCGGCAGAACTCAAAACGTATGTCGTTTAAAACATATGGCTTACTGGCTACGCACCTTGCTATTAATGCATCGCCATAACACTTTATAAACGTATTCAGCGAATACGCAAATGCTTTCGAATCGATGGCATGGATGTTATTTCTATTCACAACTGCATGGACAACTTCGACGCTGGCTACTTTTTTCTAAATTTATTAGAGCATCTCAAATAGATGTCAGGCATGCCCTAACTTTACCTAATAGCACAAACAAGTTTGACTTCAACAACATTTTTCATCAATTTTGAAATCACGAATTTCCCATCAACTCAGCTCGTAGCGCCCCCCCCCCCCCCCCCCCCAGTGTGCGCGTGAGAATTCATGGTAGCAGAACTCCTAACAGCATGACAGTAGCAGTGCAACAGTGTTGCATACATTTGGAAGTCGTCCATCTAGGCCGCAAAATACGGAAGCAATCTGCGCATGCCTTCTGAGAAGTTTATGATCGTACATTCCACACTCAAAATCAAAGCTTACGGCTGCTCCCAGATGCACTCAATGCAAACAGCTGGCGGGCACGTAAGGGCGGGCAGCAATGGTTCCTCCACCTGTTCCACAGCCACGTAACGTACATAGTCGCCTCCAGGCTGGCTCTCCCCCGTCCCCGGTGCGCAGCTGAGGCCTCCCCCCCCCTCTCCCCCCCCCCCCTTCCCATCAGCTGATGCTCTGCCAGCCAACCGAGGCCAGCGTGTTACCGGCGTGACGTCACCGGCGGGCCCCAGCGTGCATAAACATCGCCGGAGCGGCACGTGGGGCTCAGGCAGGGCCCGACCCAATGTGCGCATTCATCCCATTTCGGCGGGGATCGTCCGTCGTTGAGGCGCGGGCCTCTCGCCGCCGGACGTCGCTGGACATGATTCAAGGCCCATTTGGGATGATAGGGTATGATTTCATGACGTGGACTGCCATGCCATGAATGGATGTCAGACGCTGTTTCCATACGACTTGATAGCCCACCGTGCAGAGTTTTGAACCCGCCGCAGACCCTGTTCCTCCACTTGATACGAGCATGCTCCTCTGACGGACGCGTCACAAGGGGTGCTACTGCCCGAATGTATGCATCGTCTTCAAAACAAAATACTCGAAAGACGTGCATGGTGTCAGGTGTTAGCGAGTTGTGCGTATGATATTCTGACGCGTTATTCTAGGAAAACTGTGCAAGAAAACACAATCTTCTGGGAATAACTATTGGAAAGTTTGACCAGCTTTGCAATACTCGAAAAATCGCTGATGCAGTGGTATTATCACCATTTCATGTGCTGCCAGGTACAGCAGCGTCAACATAGTGCAAGGTTTCATCGTGAATCCTGCCTCAAAAATATTTTTAAGCGATTACGAGAGGCTTCCATCCGTAAGGAATGCTCATAGTTCAAGCCAACAGCATGCACAAATGTTGCCGCGCAGACAGCGAAAGGCTGACCGAGGGGGCACCACCAGAGACAGCTAGAGACAACCAAAGACAGCTGGCAGAGATCGCTACGTGCCATGTCGCAACGCGGAACGATACGACACAGAAACGCTCCTCTCTATCGGACAGGCGCGGGTCGCGGCGGAAGGACGACTGCGTGAGGGAGTTCTCTGTCCCAACAGCCCATCCTGTAGTCCACTCACCGAGGCCAAGCAGTCGTGACGCTGCGAAACTTCGGGGTCTCAGCAAGCCTCCCCAGGCCGAGGACCAGGCGGAAGGGAAGAGCATCCCGACCGCCGCATCCCCGCTCCCGCTCCTCCCACCCCTCCCCCTCCCCTCCCCAAGGCTGAGAACTAGGCGGAAGGGAAGAGCATCCCGACCGCCGCATTCCCGCTCATCGCTCCCACCCCTCCCTCCCCTCCCCAAAGCCGAGGACCAGACGGAACGGAAGAGCATCCCGACCGCCACATCTCCGCTCCCATCCCTCCCTCCTCCCCTACCCAATGCCGAGGACCAGACGGAACGAAGAGCACCCCGACCGCCGCATCCCCGGTCCCGCTCCCGCCCCCACCCGTCCCCTCCTCCCCTCCCCAACCGCAACCAGTCGAGATACGACGTCGGCGGGCTCACCTGGGATGATACCGCGGTCGCGGTAGTGGCTGCCCGAGATGGGGAAGATGCCGCCGATGAGTATCTCGTTCTTGCGCCGGCCGTGCATCAGCCACTGTCTGCTGATGACCTCCGCGTTGCGTCGCATCCAGTCGCAGGCGACCTCGCTGTATTTGAGGTCAGGCCGGGTCACCTGCAGACGCAGCAGGTCCTCGTACTGCCGCTGCGTCAGGTGGAAGTCGATCAACGCCTGCGGCAAAGCGTAGGGGTCAGAACAGTCCGGAGCGGGGCCAGCGGAGTTAGAACAATCCGGCGCTGGGTCAGAAGAGGCAAGACCAGTCCGGCACCGGATCAGAGGATGCCAAAACAGCCCAGCCCGGTCCGGGGGCTGGCAATGGCGCTGGCCCATCCTAATGACACTGTGTTCGGTGGATGTCCGACGGGGTCTACAGGAAAGCAATAAGGTGGAAGGAGAAAGCAAGAATAAAGAAGCTTTTCACTTACGAAGAGGGCCAGAGAAGTCGGTGACTGGCTCAGTAAATAATCAGACTCATGCGTGGCTCAAGTATATATAACTACGAAAAGTATGGCGCTGTTCACAAGATACACACAGGTCAGAATCGGTGTCTAGGACTAGTCATGTTCGTTTCGCGATTGTCGGCTGGAATCAGCATGCATAGATGACAATCATTGTATGCATCGAGTATCTGGACGTGGGGTCGATGCAAGCTCCCGGCCATAACACGCACATCAAAACTGGTCAAAGCACTGTCCATGATGTACAAGTAGCAACAGCAGATAGATACTCTATCAGAATGCTCCTTCCGCGCGGCCACGCCCCACACCTTGTGGGCCATGCTGGCTCCGTCCTCGAGCCGATTCCAGGCGAGCTTCTTCAGGAAGCGGTTGCCAGTGGGGCAGACGGTGCCAGCCGGACACGCTGGGAAGGCCATCTCCACGTAGGATGAGCTCAGTGTCAGGAGGCTTGGAGTGTAGTGCGCGAATAACACCGGTCTGCGACGTCAAACGACAACGGCTTGAGGAGTAAGACAACGTGGGTCTGGGAAGTACAGTAGGGCAGTTTGGGAGTGAGCAATAGCACATTTTATAACAGCAGTGAAGTGAGTCTGGTAATATAACAGCATTGGTCTGAGGAGAGGACTAGCAGCGGTATGAGAGCAGAATAATGTTGGCTGTGAATTGGAACTACCTTTGTTAGTATAAGATGCGTGAGACGCAAGCGGCCAGTTCATCAATAAATACATGTATTTGTTCCTAGCTAACGGGAGTGAATTCAGTGCTGCATATTAGTTTCATAGATTTGGTTGAGATGCAGATAGATCGGCAGTGGTAACGGCTATAATACAGACGGGAGCACCAATTAGAACCGCGTCAAACATCCACGCAGGCATCATGGACTCGTTCAAAGTTTGTGTTTCAGCACGGAAGGCCCGGTATTTTCCGAAGGTGCTTTTGGTTTAACATATATGCTTCCTTTGTCAGAAGAAAACGACCAGGGGTAGAACTGGGTTGACTGCATTAGGTTATCGAAACGAGATTAACGTTGGAGCGTGTAGAAAAAAATATGTGACAGCATTAGATTCCGCGCATCCGGTCGTCCCAAAAGTTATAATCGAATATAACGTAATGTTGCGCTAGGGACTTGAGCTATCTTAAATAATTTAAAAATCAAATTAATTTGAATTAAGGTGTGTCAAAATTCGAGGACAACAGGTACCCGATTAAGAGTGAGAGCGGTATCATGTTTGGAGGATCAGAGAATGGCAGGAAGGCGATGGCAGCGGCGCTTTTCTTGCCGTTGCAAACCCAGTCTAGTGGGGCAATCAATACTAGAGTTATGGCTGGTCTTTTTTCCAAGAGAAGGATAAGAAGAGAGGAGAGAGAGAGAGGAAGAGAGAGAGAGAGGATAGAGAG